GCGCGGCCCCGCCATCCACGCCCAGCGCGGGCCGCGCGCCCGGGGCTTGCCTGTGTTCTCCCCTCTGCCTTTTTCCAACACGGCTGAAATGGAGGACGACCCTGGCGCGGGCAGCTGTTCCTGGAGGGCCGGCGGAGCCGCGCCTGACTTATGATCCGATTGAGCGCGCTCCGCGCCGGCAGACCGCCCCGGCGGCCGAGAGCGCCCGCGGCCCGGCCTCCTGCCCACCCTCGCTGAGGGACAGGAGAGCTCTGCCACCCTGTCCTCGTGGTTCCCAGCCTGGGGAGGGGGTGGGTCCCAGCCCGCCCCCCGCGCCCGCCCAGCTTTTGTGCGGGGGGTGACCGCGCTGGCCCAGGGTCCTCTGCCCACTCAGTCCCGGGCCTGCCCCCAGCAAGCGGTCAGCACCTGCTGTCCTCGCTGTTGCGAGATTTTCCCTTGGGCCACATCTCCCGGAAATAAGTTACAGGGCAGATACCCCGCCCACCCCCATGCTCCCGTTTGCCTGTGACATCCTCTCCCACAGTGAAGGTGTGCCTGGTTCCCAATAGGACCACCGTGGACAGAGCTGACCCCTCCTCCTCCTCTCTCCCTCGCTCTCTTTCAGAACCGAAAGGGAACACTGCCTTTCCTGGCAGTAAGGAAGAGAGTTAGTGTCTGCCTTGGTGATTTCTTGCACAGTGGGGAAGACAGCAGCTCCCCAGGCCTGAGCAGGGAGGAGTGGGCCGTCTGTCACCAGGCCGAGTCAGGATGGGTCCTGGGGGCAGACAGAGCCCCTTGTCCCTGCTGATCCCCGCCCGAGGGTCTTGCCTCTTCCTCCTCTTGTGCCTGCGCCTGGGCGCCTCCTGCCCGCAGACCTGCCAGTGCCCTGAGCACGCTGGGGCCGTGGCTGTCCACTGCAGTGCACGGGGCCTGCAGGAGATCCCCAAGGACATCCCCGCTGAGGCCGTGCTGCTGAAGCTGGATGCCAACAGAATCTCCCGCATCCCCAATGGAGCCTTCCAGCACCTGAACCAGTTGAGAGAGCTGGACCTGTCTCAAAACGCCATTGAGACCATCGGCCCTGCAGCCTTCTCAGGTCTGGCCGGGGGCTTGCGGCTGCTGGACCTGTCCCACAATCACATCCGAAGGGTTCCGAAGGACGCCCTGGGCAAACTGAGTGCCAAGATCCGCCTGTCTCACAACCCCCTGCACTGTGAGTGTGACCTACAGGAGGCCCTGTGGGAGCTGAAGCTGGACCCCGATTCAGTGGATGAGATGGCCTGCCACACTGCAGTGCAGGAGGAGCTGGTGGGAAAGCCGCTGATCCAGGCTCTGGACTCCGGTGTCAGCTTCTGCAGCGTCCAGCACAAGACCACTGATGTGGCCATGCTGGTCACCATGTTCGGCTGGTTCGCCATGGTCATCACCTATGTTGTTTACTATGTGCGCCACAACCAGGAGGACGCCAGGAGGCACCTGGAGTACCTGAAGTCCCTTCCCAGCACCCCCATCTCCAAAGACCCCCTCAGCCCGGCGCCCTAGCACCCAGCTGCAGCAGCCCCCAGCCTGCGGTGGCAAGTGGTGACTGACTTGTGCTTTTGATATCCCCCAGCAAGGGGGTGATCACAGCCACTGTGCACTTTAGTCTTAAGAGAACTTTCATGTAGCGCATGTAGTCATCCTTCAGGTCAGGTAACTTCGACATCAGGCCCCTTTGACAGGTGAGGAAACTGAGGCTTAGAGAAGTGGTGTGACTTTCTCATGACAACACAATCAGGAAATGTCCCAGTTGGCACTTAAAACCCAGACCATCTACCATGATGTTCTGTGTTCCTTCCGTTCCACAGGCCACTCCGTGTGGTGACCGCAGGTGGATATGCATTCAGAGGACGAAGGGTCTGTAAGTAGGAGAGTCCAGATGAGGAGGTCTGCATGCATACTCATCTGTTAAGGTGCCGCCAATTCCTGTGGAGGAGCTGGTCTGCTGTTGTTTAACTAGATCTTCCAGAGTACTTTTGGACACAGATGCATTTGACTTCTTTCCAGAGCAGAGGAACAGAGATCAGGGTTTTCCAGAGAGATAAATGGAATGTGTAGCTCACACTAACCTTTCAACACCCTGTTTATTCTCAGAATGTTTGTTTAGAGTAACCCTCGTGCCAAAATGTCAGTCCATGGAGAGGGAGAAAAAAACATTGGAGAAACCTGAGACAGGTCCAGTGTGGACCCTCAAGGTGGTGTCAGTGGCACTGGGCTTCCTGCCACTTGGCCTGGGCCTGGTCAGCGGAAGGCCCTTGACGGTCACTACCGTGCCTTGCTTTTCTACTCTCTGAACATCGAGGACAGTCTCTTCCAAAGGGCAGGAGGACTGATGTGTGATATTTGAAGGCCAGTGAGTGGGTGCTTCCTTTTCTCCAGCGACAGGAGCTCTCCACCTTCGCTGCTGGGAATCTCAGAGCTGATTTAGCGCTCGGTTTTCTTACCTATATTACTTCACCTTCAGGTTATCTTCAGATGTTATCTCCACCTATGAGACCCTAATTTCTAATTTTATTCTTTACTATCTTTTTGTATGAGTGTTTATATTTTAAACTACTCGGAATATTTCATGGGGGGGGGGATAAGTGTAAATTGTTAATGGACTTAAAGTGCAAAATAGAAATGCCTCATCCAGTAGATGCCTGAAAATGATGAGAATTCGAGTGATTTGTGTTTGGAAAGTATCATGCAGCTTGAGGTGGAACATGAGATCGTTTCTAAGGCGGGCATGTCCTGCCCTGATCACTTAGGGTGGCAGAGCCTAAGTGCTCTGCTGTGTTCTGACAGCTCAGTCACCGCGTTTAGTTCAGGGACACCACACGCAGCTGTGTGACCCGTCAGCTGTGCTCGGGAGAGCTTAAAAAGAAACAACCAACAGATTTCCAAGTGCCCTCTTGCACCATGTGCTCCACGCCTGTGTTCACACTGGGCAGGAGTGCGCAGGTAACTGTCCAGAGGAGGAGCGGGGCAGGGAGACAGACGTGCCCAGCATGTGAGTGGAGGCAAGCTCAGACCCTGCTCACCTCCCCAGCACCACATGGCCTCCAGTGACACAGTGCCAACCCATGAAAGACTGGCAGCACTGCTCATGTTTCCAGTGAGAACTAAAACTAAGCAACCAGCCTCCTTAGGGTGCACCTTGGTGCTGGCGTGGCATTGGCGTGATCCACATGGCACACACGTGGTCAGCATGTGGCTGGGGTGTCCAGTTCCAATGTTCAGAGGAAGTGGGTACCAGCAGGGCAGAGCACCCCGGGCCTGTGGGGTTTTCTGTCCAGAGCAAATGAAGCTAAAATCATGAGTGCAGCTGTGGGTTTGTAACTGGGTGCCATTGCTGGACCCTGTGGGGTGCAGAGTGAGGGGGTCTCCTGTAACAAGTGCTGTGCAGAGCAGATAAACGCTGTGGGACACAGGCTTATGTGGTGATTTGGGTCCGCCTGCAGCCCCTTCCCTGTCCCGGGGTGCACACGGTGGGGGGAGGGTCCCCATCATGTAAGGAGCTCAACATACATGACCCTGGGTCTGGGGTAGTGTGGACCGAGGTATGGGTGTGACGGTCAGGTCCTGCCTCTGCCACGTGTCCTGTGGCGGCCAGCCAGTCTCATCTGGCATCTGGGGTGGGGGGCTTTCCCTGCTGCCAGGGGACTCTTCATTTGCCCTTATCCCAGACTCAGTCCAGAGCCTGGATTCCACGAGATGGACTCTGCAGAAAGTGGGTGATCTGTGGCGGGGGGGGCTCCTTGCCTCTCTGGCCTTGCCCTTGGTGTGGGTCTGCTGGCTCCTGCTCAGCTGCTGCTGGAGGAGGAGGTGGGGAGAAGACCCACCATCCCAAGCCCAGAGTCAGTCCGCTAAACTGCCCACCCTCCTGCCCTTTCTGGGTCCCTGCCTCCATGTGGACCCAGGGGAGAACACCTCCCCTCTAAGGAAGGCCACAGGGACCCCAACACTCTGAGACACCAAAGCTCCTTCCTGCTCATTAGAACTCCTACCCCTGGTGCCTGGAAGTCCTCGGCTCTCCCGGGATACAGCTCCCCTCCCCACCCCCAGGCACGCTCCCTCTCCTTTCCTTTCCTACCCTCCTGTCCCTTCCCACGAGTGAGCATCTGCACCCCATGGACCCTTGGGCTGACTCAGTCCTTCCTCCCCGACCCTGCACTGATGGGGTCTTCCAGATCTGCAGAGGTTGTGGGGTCAGCTCCGCCCCAGCAAGGTGACCAGTGTTGACAGTGGCAAATACGTGATGAGGGGATGTCTCAGTTGGGGAGGGCAGTGGGCTCCCAGCCTTGTGGGACGTGGTGACGCCTGGGCTCCCTGCAAGTCAGATGGAGAGCCTCACAGGAGCTTCGTGAGCACAGAGGTCTGCGTGTGGCCAGGGCCTGACCCCATCTACAAAGTCCTATGTACCCTGGAAGGTAGCCTGGGCACGGGTCTTGGGACGGGGGGGGGATGACTTTGGGGCCTTATGAGGCAAACTAGTCCTAGCAGCTTCCCTGGCTCGGGGTCCATGGCTGGGCCTCTCTCCTGTCCCATGAAGAATTGGGAATGGGGAGGGGTCTTGCTTCTAGGGAGGCCTCAGGTGATTCCAAAGAAGGAGGGGAAGGGTGATGAGAGGCTTGTGGTGTCCATGGGCCCTTAGGGAGCCAGGATTGCCCAACTGCTCTGGCTGGGCCAGAGCTCAGCTTCCTGCAGAGTGGCAGAAAGAGAATCCACACCAGCTAATTTAAGTACAGAGAGCTCTACTGAGGGTTCACAGAATGGTGAGAGGACAATGGAATCAGACTTTAGACTGAGCTTCCAGGAAAGATGACTCCAGAAACCACCCCAGGCTCCTGCCATGGCTGGGGAGCTGCCCCAAGTCCAGAACGTTCCACCCCTACCACAGTCTGCACCAGCTGCTCAGCTGCCTCACACCCTGCCCCTCTCCCCTGGCAACTTGGTTCAGTATCCAAGTTTCGTGCTAATGCATCTCACTGGTGGGACAGAAGGCACGTGGAGAGCCCAGCTGCAGGGGAGCCAGCTGGGGCTGCCCACTCCCTGTACCCACCGCAGGGGGTGCCCCAGGAGAGTTCAGGGCCCTGGCCACATCCTGCTCAGAATTCCTCCTCACTGCTCCTGCCTCGGCGTTGGTTACCCCGCCCCATCACTTTGCTGACCATCTGTGAAGAGCTGGCCAAGAGGGCTGTTCCCCTGCAGACTCTGTCCTTGGATCTTAGGATGAATGGAACCAGATGTTGAGCTGAACGTAAAGCAGCCTCCACCAGGTGGACCCCACGAGAAGAGCACCTGGCTCGTCCTCATCCTTGCCGTGGGCCTGTACTCCCCAGCCCTGCACCTTCTCCAGCCCCCAGCCAGCCTCACGGGGGCCTGTGAAGGATGTCTCCTAGTCCACACCCAGGCAGCAGAGCTGGGAGCCTCCCCTCTCCTCCCCACCCTCAGTTGCCTTCCTGTCTCAGGGAGCCCACCCCACCAGGGACAGCCCTGTGTGTCAGGACAGACCTGCTGGAAAGCCAGACACTGGCTCATCCCCCACTGCTGGACCACCCAAGGGAGCCACTGGGCAGGTGTCTGTGGCCCCGAAGCCCAAACAGGATGCTGTGAACATGGGGAGGGCACTGGGTCTGGGATCCTCTCCTAGAGTTGGGGTTAGGGCTAGAGCTCTGGTTTCCATGATGCTTGAGCATGGGGGGTGGTGGGGGCAGGCGGTGAACCTGCAAGATGGACAGTGGCCACCATGCCCAAGAGCAGCCAGGCCAGGACGCTGCTCCCGGAGGGGATGTTAGCAGCCAGCCTTCGCAGCGGGGAAGACCAAGGCACAGAGCAGTCAGACGACTTGCCAAGGCCACATGAGCTGGTAAGAGCCAAGCTGGGGTGTGACAGAGGACAGCAGGCGGGGAGAATGAGGAGCAGCCACCAGGAAGCCTCAGGGTGGACCGTCCCTCCACCCAGGCTGTAACTGTAGCTGGTGCCACTCTTGGAATAATTGGGGGACCAAGACAGCCCATTGGAATCTCATCAAGTTACTTCGACTCCATGTGCCCAGTGCCCAAAGGCAGGGTGGATGAGCCTCGTGGCTGGAGCTGGCACTGCCTCCGCCTCCCATTGCCCACCCACCCTCCACCACACACACATTCACACTTTTGGAAGGTCAGTGACAGGCCCCAAAGGCATCTCTAAGCAGGGGTCACTAGGGCACTGGACTTGCTGCAGGGGCTCTGGGGTTCAGACAGTCTGTGTGCAGCACGAACACCTTGCAGCATGCTGGGTCCCCTACTCAGGCCCCACCAGGGAGCCCCCAGGTCCACACAGGTGAGTTGGAGACGGCTCCCCTAGGACGGGTGCCCTCTCCCCTGCCCTCAGCGCCCTGCTGTCTTGCACTCAGCTGGACAGGATATAGGGGAAGCTACCCCCTCTCATCCCTCCTCAGATCAGCTCATGCTTCTGGGCACCAGCTGCTGGGCTGGGGGCAGGAGTGGGGGTGGGGCGGGCTGCATGGGGTCAGGAGAGAGAACCAGAGGGTGGCTTTTCTCCGGGTCAGCCAGACCCAGGTCTCCACAAGCTCCGGGTGCTGCTGGGTCTCACCGTAGCTGCTGGCAGGGGCAGCTGGCTTGAATGCTGGGGACGGATGCCCAAACCCCTGGTCTTTGCCTAGGGGGCCTGTGTGACTTGGCCAAAAAGTCGTTTTGATTCAGATCTTGTTGATCTGGAAGTCACAGTAATTAGGACACAGAGACTGAGGTTTTCCAAGCAAATAATTTGCATTACCATAACCAGAGAGGAGATGTTTGCTCGGCTCTCAAGGGCTTAGCAGCCCGGGAACAAGGACCAGGACATTTCTGTCACCAGGCTGGCCTGGACGCCTGGGCTCTTTGCTGTCATGATGGCTTGTGGGTGTAGCTGTTTAGGAGTTAAATCCGTTCTCAGGCGTTCGGGTTTCCACTGTGAGCCTCCCGCCGATGCCCTTTGCTTCTGCTGCTGTGGGGTCTTCGTGATGACATCGGTTCGTAGGGCTACTTCACACCTCGATCAGCAGACTTGCCAAGGAGTCACGCCCTGGTGTGCCAACAGCTTCATCCGTCTGTGCTGGCCTTTCAACTTCACTTATTTATATTTTTAGAATATATTACATTATGTATGTAACAAATATGTTACACTATATGTACCTTCCTTTTTTATTTACTTCCATTTTTTACCTTTAGAAAGTTTCCCCCTCATTGAAAAAAAATTCCATTCTAGAAGCTTTTTATTCCCAACATTTGTGACTTTAACTCTTCCAAATACTTATGCCAAAAGCAGGTGGATTTGTCTGCTGAGGATTTTAGTATAATTTAATTCCTGGAGGCCAAGCTTTCCTTCATTTTTACAAAGTAGTTTTACCTATTAATTCTTTGAGATATTGTTGTGAAGCACTTCATTAATTAAAAAGAGCTGCATTGAGATTCTGATTGGAATTGCATAAAAACTACATACTAATTTGGGAAATCTTGGCAATGTCAGGATATCAATTCAAAGATTTGTCTAAATCTTTTTTTTTTTTTTTTTTTTTTTGTCTTTTTCCGTGTCCGGCAACGGATTGCAACCCTCAG